AGTCTAGGATATGTTAACCAATATTTAAACTTCAGAGTTTGCAAACCTCTGCTTTTATTATCTCCAAGGAGCATTTCAGTCCATCCTTATCCCAAATCCTGGGAGGCAATGTGATAATAATAACAATAGCAGCTGACATTTACTGAGCACTTACTACCTACCAGGTTTTTATATATAGCAACTCATTTATTTCTCATAAAATTAAAACAACATACCCTATGAGGTGGGTACCATGTAATCCCTACTTTATAGAAGAGGAAACCACAAAATAGGGAAGAAGGATCCTCTACCCCACAGGGACCCCGGAGGCCCAGCTTTAAGACTCAACGCTCCCACCACTGCTGGGTGACCGTGGCAGAGGCTTGTCCTCTCTGTGCTACCTGGCGAAGACCAGATGGAAGGTAGGTAGGAAGATGCTTCAAAAAGTACGACTGTAAAGTGACTGGTTGACAGCAGTGCTGGGCTGGGAAGGGAGCAGCATGGATGCAGGCCTTTAGCCAAGGCCCAGTCTCCAACCTGGGATCGCTAAAGGGCCCTCAGAGGCACACACCCAGCTTCATGCCACATGGGGCTTCCTGTCCTGCCCTCCGGACCCTATCAGAAGGGGGCCTCACAACAAGGCTGAGATGCACAGCATAGGAATATGGAAGCGGAGGCCACTGTTCTTGGACCCAGATTAGTTTTATAGGTGCTTGGAAGCCCCCCCCCCCCCGAAATCTTGGTGTATTAACCCCTCATGGAAGGACACTAAAGCCCAGAAATAGCTAGTGTGCTGTTCAAAGTCAGATAGCAAGGTGGACAGTCAGGCCTTCTTAGCAGTGGGCATTGTCTTTTCTGGTAATCACACTGCCTTCTGCTGTGTGCACTTTGCCTTTGACATCTTCCCAAAGCCTTAGATCATGAAAACAGGAAAGTATTATCTGCACAGCCCCTCCGATGCTCTTTTACATGCAAACAAAGGCAAAGGCGACCTGGAAGTTGACAGTATCAATAAAGGGACACGTTGGGACAGGATAAGGATCAGTTGTTAGATAACAGGTTTCCAACAGTGTAGTGCAGGTGTGCTTCCTATACCCCAGGGCCATCCCTGGGTTATCCTAGAGTTGTGTCGGGGAGACCCTGAGCTAACGCATGTCAAAGACACCCTTGAAAGAAAAGAGAAGTCCCTAAATTTCAGTCTGACCACTCACACTCTGTCTGGCCTACATTCTCCATAGAAGTTATCATCACTATTTTATTTATTCATTTTGCATGTTTATAAACATCCCTGCTAAAGTTAAAGTTCAGGAGGGCCAGAACCCCATTTATGATCATATTCATTATATTAAAGTGGAGACGGATACCCAGCAAGTATCAATATATGTTTGCATGAATGAATGAATGAATGAATGAATAAGGGTTGGCTGGCTAAATAGATGGATAGGTGGATGGGTAGATGGATAGATGAATGGATGGATGGATAGATAGATAGATAGATAGATAGGTGGGTGGATGAATGGGTGGATGGATGGTGGGTAGATGGATAAGTAGGTGGGTAAAATAATGGATATGTGAATGGAAGGGAGGGAGGGAGGAGAGGAGGGAGAATAAAATAGGGGAGGTATAGTTTTACTGCCTTCAATATGATAAATATAATTGGGGTGGGGCATAGCTATACCTTTAATAATCACATTTTTATTGAACAGGTTATTATGTGCTAGGTACTATACTAGGAAATACTACAGTGTGAAAGACAGATAGGTTCTCTGACCTCACAGAACACACCCCTAGTAGGGATACAATGATATACGTGATTATCACATGGTGTGTTAAGTACTATGATGAGGGAAGTACAGGGCACTAAAGGAAGGCTTCCTGGAGGAAGTGACATCTAAACTGAATCTTGAAGAAGAGTAGCCGTTAGCTGGGTGAAAAGGGCATGGAGTGGGGGTGGGTGGGGTGAATAGGGAGCAGTGTGAGCATTAAGCCCAGAAGCAGCAGGAGCCAATAAGTTTGAGGAGCAGAGGTTTGTTTGAGCACTAGCCAATGGAGATACTTCCTTATTCTCCCCCAGCGACTCCTCAGTGGACATCTGTTGTTTTTCTCTGCCTAGGATCATCTAGTCCTCCTTCTTTTAGAACAGCTCCCTGATTTTCTTTGAGGAAATCTCCCCAATTCCCCTCCCCACCTTCAGTCCATGTGGTTGATGGGAAACTAAAACCAGACTCCACCTGAGGGTGAGCATGACCCCAGGCCTGGCCAATTAGTAACATTATGTTAACCTGGCCACAGTGATTAGACCTCATGATTCCAGCCAGGCCAATAAGAGACAGCCCTGGGCTTTGCTGGACACACTGGAAAGGGCACTTCTCTTTCCACTAGGGGGCGCTAAGCTGATAGAAAATGAACTTACAGTGGGGCTGGGTGGGGAGACCATCTTTGTGACCAATAGGAGAAACCTGCCTGATCATGAAAGCAGAACAGAGGAAAACAAAACCAAAAGAGGGAGACAGGCTGATTTCCACAGGTAGATGGATGGGTAGATGATGGATGGATGAATGGATAGATGTGTAGACAGACAGATGGTAAGAAAGGAGGAGGAAAGGAGAGAGAGAGAGAAAGAGAGAGAGAGAGAGAGAGAGAGAAAGGGAGGGAGGGAGGGAGGGAGGGAGGGAGGAAGGAAGGAAGGAAGGAAGGAAGGAAGGAAGGAAGGAAAACTGAGGGAGGAAATAGGATAAAATGGAGGAGGTACTGTTCTATTGCCTTTGATCTGGTGAGTATTTGGGGTGCTGCTTGCTGCAGAAGAATTGTGGTAGGCAGTTAGACAGGCATGAGCAGAGCAAGGATAATGGGCCAGGTACAGAGGTCACCAAGGCAAAACTGGGAAAACAAGAACCTCGTCTCCAGGGTGACTTCCCTACCCTAGCATATTGCTGATCATGAGATTCAGACCCTCCCCTGACCTTTCCTCCCCTGGCATGTTGCTAGTCATGCGGGTTAGGCCCCCTTAGAGAGGGTACAAACAAGGGGGCCAGGGAATAGCCCTTAAGCATTAAGCCCCCAGGACAATGAGGTTCTGACCTGCATCAAATACATCTAGGCCTCTGCTGTGTTTCAGCTCCAGGCCCAGAAAAGCTGCAAAACCAGAAAAGCAGCAAAACCAGACCAGAGACAACACGCTGACCTCTGGACCAGCTGTATTGACTAAAGACCCCCTGGCGCCAACCAATCTGTGGAGACCACAATCCAGAAAGAACACACCTGGAAAGCTGATAAATATTCTATTGAGATCCTCCCCTGGGAACTCCCCTGAAATCTGTACTCTAGCATGCCTGGGCCTTTCCCCTCCCCCTCCACTCCTCCCAACCCCCACCTCCCAGGTACATTACCTTTACCCTTCTCTCTCTTAAACTCCAAGGGCCCTTCTTTTGATGCTGTAACTTGTTTCCTGAGCCCATTTCTTCTACCACCCACTCTTCTACCTCTGTGACTTTCTAAATAAATTTTCTCTTATAGTTTGAATCTTGGTTCTGAATTCTTTCTGAGCCAGAACTCAAGTACCAAGATTACTGAACTAAGGCCCCATCTGACTCCACTGGTCTAACACTTGGTGCCATTTTTGTTGTAGCTGCCAACAGAGTGAGAGCACTGGGGTGCCAACAGCAAACCCCTCCCTAGGTCATTTGCTGACTGCACACTGAGTCTTCAGTAGTTGCCCAGAAATTCATTTCAGGCATATGCAGCTGCCTGCTGTGGACCCAGTGCTGTAAGAGGCACAGTGGCAGGCTGTGAACATTTCAAGAGTTGGTCTTTGAAGTGTCTTATACATCCCTGGTGTTCCCAGGGTGCTTACTGAAGCAGAGAAGGGAGGGAGGGATATATGAATAAATGAAAGAAACTGGTTTTGCCCACAAGGAGTTTAGAGTCTGGGCAGGGAGACAAGAGTAAAGCATGTGAAAGGATGATACAGTAGCCCCAAACAGAGCATAGTGTGTGCTGGATATGTGGCCTGGGAGGGAGGGTGTCTAGACCGTGAGCCTGTGGAGGCTGCACCATGTTCTCCACAGTGTGTCCAGAGCCTCCAGCAGTGCTGGCATATAGCCGGCGATCAATACTTATTTGGTGAGTGAAGAAATGAGAGGAAGAGTGTGCATGTGCATGAGAGATTAGTTAAGAGTTCAGAAAAGTGGTGGCTCCAGGTGAGCTTCTGTGATCAAGAGTGAGTTTGAGCTTGGTGCCTTTGGATGGGAAAGAATTCAAGAAGCAGAGGGGAAGAGAGGAAGAGAAAGGGAATTCTCAGCAGGAGAGGCAACGGAGATTCCCAGCAGAGCAAACAAATCTGATTACAGACAAATCTGGGTTTGAAATCCTGCTGCACTATCTACCAAATAAATTCCTGCACTCTGACCCGTGTGTTTGTGTTCCCCCATCCACTCGCCTTCTTGGATCCTAATACTCATCCTAAGTCCAGTTAGATTTTGCCTCCACGCAGATAGCAAGGTCAATTCTTGGCCAAACTGTGATGCTCTGAAATTATTTCCTGGAGATGGCAAGGCATGCTCATCCCCCTCACCTCATGTGAGCCTCAAAATAGCGCTCCATTTTGCAGATAAGAATACTGAGTCCACATGAGCTACATGGGTGCCTAAGGTCCCACGGTCAGCAAGGAGCAGGCCTCGACTTTAGCCTGTCCTACCTGACTCCAAACCCACACTCCTTCCTCGGGAGCTTTGTGCCCATGCTCCCCCACCCCAACTCTGTGCCTTCTGCTTTGGTAGGTAACACATTCCCACAGCTGGAACTTTTACAACGTAAACATGCCCAGGGCCCCACCCCAGATGTACAGAATGAGAAGCTGGGGTTTTGAATCACTGCACCCCACCATAATGACCCCCTGTCCCTTGGGCACATCGTAAAAAAGGCTCAGGGTCCTCCCAGACTCGTGGTTAGCCTCCCTCCGGCCCTGGGCACTGAAGAAAGGGGCCCGATCTCACATGGCAGCAGAGCTGAGCAGGACTTACTGTGTAGAGCTCGTTGGTGACCTTCAGGAGCTCCTCGTGCATCTGCAGGCCAATCTCCTTGCTCTGGAATGTGAAATAGCACATGTCAGAGGGGGAGAAGGTAGCTGTTGGCTTTAAATTTCCTTTTCAACACAGTAAGGGCAGGAATGCTCTGGGCAGGGGCTGCAGAAATCAACATAAAACTCATTGATCTAGACTTGAATTCCTCAACTTGTATCCACAAAACAAAGTCTTCCCTGGCCATGTAAGTTGGGGAACGCTGCTTGGTGATTCACAGAGATATTACCATATTAAAGATTCTAAGAAACCCCACAGCCATCTTTCTTTAATTCTGTGTGTCCTATGTTTATGTGACCAGAATGTGTGTCCCTAGTTCAATGCTCATTAACATTTCATGAGGGTGGGATTCCACAGAACACAGTCTGAGAAAGAATGATGTAGCATCTCAATCCATCAGAGCAGGGCAGGTAAACAGACAGCCCTCTGGATCACTGGCAGAACACGGAGGTTCTGGCCTCCGCTGTATCACCAACTGGCCATGTGGCCTTGGAGACTTAGTTACCACGTTATAAAATAAAAAATTTAAAAGAAACACTTCCCAAAGCATGCTGGGGGGGGGGGGGGGGGGGGGCCCCCACTATAAAAGGGATGGGAGCTTCTGTGACCAAATACATTTGCGAAAAGCTAGTTAAAGTGAGACAGGTTTTTCTTTAATATATTTTATTGATTTTTTACAGAGAGGAAGAGAGAGAGATAGAGAGCTAGAAACATCGATGAGAGAGAAACATCGATCAGCTGCCTCCGGCACACCCCTTATAGGGGATGTGCCCGCAACCCAGGTACATGCCCCCGACCGGAACCGAACCCGGGACCCTTCAGTCCGCAGGCCGACGCTCTATCCACTGAGCCAAACCGGCTTCGGCGAGACAGGTTTTTCTTACCGCAGAATTTTTCAGAGGCTTTTGTACCCTCACATGCATGGACTGTATGTGAAGGGGGCTGCAGTGTGTAATTTAGTTGACCTGAATCCTTTTTCGCAGTTACATACATGTTCAGTATATGAGGGACACAATTTAGAAAATAACGAACAAATTATCTCCAGGTTCCATCCAGCCTAAAGAGTCTAGGATTCTGTTACTTATTAATATTATTATTATTACTCTCCCTGTTTGCTTGGACCATCATGTGAAGTTTCCGTATTGAAAATAGGAGCCCTGGTCTCTGCTCCCTGACAGCTGAGTCATCCTGCTCTCCCTTTCAGCTCCCTCAGCCTCAAGCATGACCAGCAGCTGATGGGCAGAGACCAGCCTTCCTCTGCCCTGCCCTGCGCAGGTCAGCAGGCCCTGGGCCCAGTGGTAGCTGGGGAGGGCTCAGTATCAGGCTCCTTCTTCTCACCCACAGCCTTTCTCTCAGTTTCTGGGCCTAGACTTGCCAAGAGTCACTTGTCTGAAGGCAGCCCCTGCATTTACCAGATCTCGTAACAGACAGCAAAAGCTCTGGGGCAATTCCAGGGATCTGCTCAGACCTCACTCCAGTTCTGGTGACTAAAGAGAAGGGACCCAATCCAAGAGCACAGCAGAGTCTCAGCAGAACTGTCTGTACAGAGCTTGCAGGGAGCCTTCAGCGCCATCCCATGCATCTACATGGTGTGTGATGAACCCAACTAGTTACCCCCATTTTCTTCTATTCTCCCTGATTCTCAGTCTGTGCCTCAGTTTCTCCTGTGGCCCATCCCCCTGATGTTTGCCCCACTGCTGACCCCGTACTCTGACATCCACAGTGGCTCCTCTCAGTGCTCAGTCTTACCAATATCTCTGACATCCAAGACCCAGTTTCTTCTGTCTTTATTTTTATGATCTCACTTTTTGAAGGTACTAAGTGCATGTGGTTAAAGGACCCTAACAGCCAGCAAAGTAAAAGAGAAGAGTAAGTCTCTCAGGCTCCTGGACGCCTGCCCAGAGTCAACTGCTATTCAAAGTTTCTTCTGATACCTTCCAGAAACAGGCTACGGATACACAAGCATGCATTTGGATAGTGTATGCTCTTTTTTAAACACCTTTGCATCTTGCTTTTTCTGCCTAACAATATACCTGAGAGATTCTTCCTTCATAGCCTATGTAGCTCTTGCATCCTCCTTTTTTGACAGCTGCTTGGGGTTCCATATACCAGATGTATCAATTAATTAACCAGCTGCATAGTGACGGGCATTTAGGTTGTATCTAGTCCCCTAATATTTCAAACAATGATGCAGTGAACATCCTCGTACTCTATCACTGTGCACCCTGTCAGATAAATTCCTAGAAGCAGCTCTGCTGGGAAGAGTCCTGCCTTCAAAACTCCCACTAGCCTTGCCTTCTCAGCCTCTGCCCCAGCCAGCTCCCCACACACTACTGACTCCAGCTCCCACTTCTCAGAGATCAGCAGCCATGTCTACCATCTCCATGGTCCTCTCTCCTGGGCTCCGCCCTGCACGACCCTGAGCCCAAGCTCAGAGACCTGTATCTTCAACTGTTGCAAAACAGTACAGTCTGGATGTTCCCTCATCACATCAAACTCAATTAACCAAAAGCAAACTCCTGAACTTTCCTCCATCTCCTTGAATTTGGTCAATGGGACAATATATTCCCAGGCATGGCAACTGGAAAATCTGGAGTTTTGACCAAAAAAAAAAAAAAAATCCCTCCTCCTTAATCCAATCTGTCATTGCCGGCTTCCTTCTAACTGCCTAATACTTTGCTCTCAGTAGCAGGTAATGCTGGTTCCTTTCCCAGCATCCATTCCTGCCCTTCCTGCTTCCTAACAGAGCTATGAATTTTGGCCCTGCATTCAGCCCTCCAGCTGAGTTCTTCCAAGGACATGACCCCATCCCAACTTGAGATAACACATTCTGGTATGTTGTTAGCCCAGGGGTATGTGACTTACCTAGATAGAAGAGAAGGACTCAGATGATTAAGAGGAAGGTTTTAGCTTTTCCAATGAGTGCCCGCAAAATAACCATGGAGCCCCAATTGCTATCAGTAGCCTTGAGTGGCAGAACAAAAGAATATTGGTTCCTTAAGGACTCCCTGAGAAACTGGTTGACCTGAACCCAAAGCCTGCCTCCTAGTGAATAAATCTATGAACAGATGAAGGGACAGTTCCTCTAAGCCTTAGTTTCCTTATCTGTAAAAGTGGGATGATGTCTCGGAGTCCCTGTGAGGATGAAAAGCGGTAACACATATGGCAGCACTTGGCATCGATGAAGAGCTTGGGAAACAGTGCATGCTGAACTGACATCCACTGATGCCAGGGACAAAGCTAGGAAGTCGCTCAGAAAAGGAAACAAGAGTTGAATTTCTTTATTAAGTTGCCCCTTAAGAATCTCCTAGTTTGGCAGGATCGAGAGTCAAGAACCAAATAATTCTAAGGCAGGAGTGAGTGACAGCTGAGGTGATGTGGGATGAAGTGATGAAGAGGATACAGGGACAACCACCAGAGCCACCTCACCTTGTGTGAAAGGACAGAGACGGTATTTGAGGAAGGGGGCGCAGCCGGAGCAAAGGCATAGAGACTGGCACCAGGGAAAAGCTTGGTTTGCAAAGAGAGAAGCACAGCAATGGGAGAGCAGAAGATGAGCTGGAAATGGAGCTGGGTCAACACAGGCTGTGGAGTGCAGGTTTCATGCGGAGTGGAACTGGGAGCCTCTGAAGGCTGTGATCAGAGGTGTGCTTCCTCAGGAAGATGGAGAGAGGGTGTAGAAGAAGAAGACAGGGTAGACTGGATGGGGAGGAGCTGGAGGCCTGGTGCCTGTGTTTCCTCAGTAAGTCACCAGAGGGAACCTGCCTGAGTGAGTCTGTGCTCACCTCCCTCTCAGCACCAAGCACGGCTGGCCACAGAGTGAGTACTCAGCAAATAGTTACTACACTGCACAGGACTCAAAGGAATTTTATTTTTCTATGGTTGGGGCTGGTTGAGAAGGGAAATATTCTCAACCACAGTTCCAGAAACTACTGAATGAGGAACCCAAACCAAACATTCCACCAGGAACAGGAGGCCAAAACCCTGATAATCTCTAGCAGACCATCACACCCAGCCCTTGGGGACCCAAGTGGCAATGCATTAGCACTCTCTGTCCACATTTCTCACATGACTTTCATGCCTGCAGAGGTCAGGGGTGGCAGGCTGCTTCCTTCATGCACAGGAAGTGTGTGGACTGTAGAAAATAATTACATTGGACCAAGTAGGGCTCAGCCATGGCAACCGTGGTTCTTCGGGGTTGAAAGGGTACAACATTGTCTGTCTGACCCAAATAAGTCTGTAAAATCAGGTGGCAGGTGGCCTGGCCCTGCCTCTTTCTTCTGCCCGCAGCTAATGCCAGTTAAACTCTAATAGGGTCAGATAGCTCTTTGATGGGGGCGGGGCTGTTCTGGGCATTGTAAGATGTTCATCATCCCTGGTCTCTAACCACCAGATGCCAGGAGCATTCCCCACCTCCACCCCAAGTCGTGATAATAGAAATTATCTCCAAATGGCCAAATGTCCTCTGGGGGACAAAATCGCCCTGGCTGAGAACCACTGCCCTAGACCAAGGGCTCCAAATGGCAGCTTCACTGGCCTGCAGATGTGTTTTATTTGGCCATTCAGTGTTTTCAGATAATCTGATTCTTTTCCCAGCTTTTAAAAATCAGTAAATTCCCCTTACACGTCCAGATTTTCAGTTTTTCCTGAAAAAACTAGAAGATCCAGTAATATTGGGCCCCCAGTTCGGGCATGGCAGCCCTTTGGGTGGTGTTTGTGCTCTCCAGTTGGCTGCAGTGCCCAGCAGCTCCCTTCACTGGCCCACGGGGGCATTTGAGTTTAGGACCCAGAGACTAATGGGGTCTCACAGGGAGTAGCCATCAGAATCCTTTGTCAACAACAGCCTTCACTAACCTGTGAGAGTGCCTTTTCAACCAACGTCCTTCTCATATCCCAACTTTGAAAGCCACTGAAGCATCCGCTTCCTGAGACCGAAGCTCCTGGTTCCCCCATGGACCCCAACAGCACAGCCTGGGTAGAATCCCAGCATCCCCTGAACCCGTCCT